TCTTCGTAGAAAGTTGAAAAATGACACTACCAAAAATTATTATTTGAACAACGTATTTCTCCGTCTTCGAAGGCGATATCCTTTAGTAAAAAGCTTCACGATAATAATAACATACAAAACCCTATAGGCGTAAAGGTTATTGGTAAAATATCGAGAAAAATAATTTTTCATCTGTAATCTAACGTAACTTCATCGATGCAAAAAAAAAAAAAAATCCGTTAGAAGTCCAAAATGACTTCACTAACGGATATTGGTAATTGATAATCCCTATCAAATAGTTTTTGTCATAAAGTACCAATTCAGAATCAGTCGGTACAACCGTCCAAAATTCTTGAACGACTATATCGATAAAATACAGATAAAGTTTCAAGAATAGAAATTTCATAGTCAAAAATGAACATGATCAAATTGTATGCGTGATTAAGTTTATTCTGACCGTGGAATTGTATGAATATTAGAATAAACATTAAACTTTTAATTTTCTATATAGGATTCCTTAATTATTGAATAAAATTTATTTAATAACATACATTGAATCCACATCTCTTTCCCTTCATCGCAGTTGTTTTATTTGTGCAATTATTTGAATGAGACACAAATTGCAAGATGGCTGCCGTCGATCTAAAAACATCATAATTGTTGATTTGTTGTGTTTGCCGTAGCGAAAAGTCTATCTTGGACTATACATAATTTACGAGTAATATTATTTATCGTCATGATAATAAAATATCGGTAATGTAACAACTCATTATCCCCCCTAGTTCTCTCTCATAAAAATTGAACCGTCAAATCACATTATTCCACATAAATTATCGATATTTCATCATCATCATCATAAATAATATTATTCTAAATTTATTCATTAAAATTAGGGTTTGATATTCTTTATAGAAAATTTAAATTGAAACTAGGACAAAATAAAAAATTATAGGAAATATATTTGGAAAGAAAATTGATCTAATAAATAATATCTATTAAATAAAACAAATAATTTTTTCCTTTAAAAAAAAAGGGCGAATGGCACAGTCCGTTTCAAGCGATTTTTAACTTCGGAAATTTAAAACAAACTATTTCCAAATGGTTTGGTTTGATTTGGTGGTATTTGTCCGCCCTATTTGTAAGGTTAGTCGACTGAGAAGTTGCTTGCTAGATCCTTAAGTTACCCCGTTTGGGCCGTTTGGCACCCATTAAAATGTCAAATACATTTTTATGTATTTTCTTTTTAATCACACATTCTGAAATCGGCCCTATATTTTTGCTGTCCTTAAAAGATGCCA